AATTCATTTACTTTCTATTTGCAAATTTTGTATTTATTTCGTGTACTTGTGCCCTTTAGAGGTGTTTTGCTTCTTTCCAATTGTAATATTCATAAATAAAGCATCATTTTTTGGGACTTCATCTCAAAAGATTTGTTCCTTACACAATCGTCTCAACCTTTCTTTTAATTGTTAGCGATAACCTGCACGAAACAAGGATTATTGAAAAAGGAGGAGAAAAAATTATACGACTATATGGAGTTTGATACAAATGCATTACATTTTTCTGTTTAAAGGCATCTCACCTTCATGAGTCTTTTATATTTTTTATAGCATATAGAGTACGTACCCTAAGAATGCCCTCAAATAGTAGGTTGTACCTCTCTGAGGTTAGATTAGGGAAATTAAGTCACTATTACTACAAATTGCTTATTGCTTAAGGTCCCAAAATTTGCACCAAATTATCATTTTCAGATGTACTTTAGAATTTGTTTGCTATTTACTTATGCTCTATAGTTGGGGGGGTAAATTTGTACATGTAAACAGAGGGGTTGTGTTGGAGTGAGTTCTCTCTTAATCAATAGTAATATTCAGATGTCATGGAGTTATATCTCAATTCTTCAGAAAGGTTTTGAATTCGTTATTCTTTGAAGATAAATATTCGGTATGAACCGAAGTAGGTTTTTCCCAATTTTGTTCATTCTCAACTATGCATCTTTTCAATACTACATCTCTATGGTGGAGTGAAAAACATGCAGAAATAGAGAAGGGTGCCTGCAAGATTGAAACTAAGAGATAATTTTACCCGAAAAATGTAGTTTATGAGATCCAAAAGAACTGGGAGAACTGACGCATAAGGGCACCATTTGTTATTACGTTAAAGAGTTCACTACTCTTATTCTTCATTCGGCACTACTTCCTTTTTGTCCCCTCCCCTTTTAAATGGATGTCTCAAGGATAAAGTCATCATGCTCACTTCTACAAAGTTGTCATTTTTAGTTCAAAGAAATTGTGTATTTCGAGAAGATGAGTTGAATGGATCGTGCAAAAGTTCCACGACTTTTGATTGCTCTATGGAAACACTAGTGGCTTTGCTTGTTGAGAAGTAGAGTCAAACTCACAAATAAATGGCTCATCTCACGGGTTAAGTGGCTAGCCTAAGTTTGCTTTTATTTTCGTCCAACGCGATACGTTGTTTAAAAATCGGTGTGGTGTACATATCTAAATTAACATTATAAACAAATTCTCGACTTGTTTCAGGTGCAACATGAGCCAAACATGTTACAAGAGTCCATCAAAAGGGACCGAATTTGTCAATTTCTCAAAGTTTG